AAAAAAATGGAGGCAGGAGTAGTAAGCAATTACCGCAAGCTCTTCCAGCTGATCTGCACCACTGGTTCCAAAAAATAGGCATCCGTGTGACAACCGGAGACAGCGCGTGTGCCATGATTCACAATAAGGAGCGCCGTATGGCTCGTTGGGCGCAGCAGTTTCAAGATCAGTTCAGTTGGTCCTCTGCTTCCCGACCTCTCCGTACTCAGGTGATGTAGGATGAGCCATGGACGGTTAGTTTGGAGCCTTCGTCGGAGGTCGAGGTCTGAAACGCGATCACAGCCCTCAAGCGTTTTCGTGCTGCTGGTCTGGACTCTCTCCCACGTGCACTGTTGAAGTATGGAGGTGAGATCCTCCGCAAAGCATTGACCTCCCTATTCGAACATGTCTGGAAGGAAATGACCAGCCCGACTAAAGAGTAAATCGACTATAGTGGCAATATAAAAGAAAGGCAGTCGCACCGACTGTGCTAACCACAGGGGTATTAGTCTAAAGTCAAATGTGAGAAAAGTACTGGCGTAAATTCGCATTCGTCGTGTCGCAGCGGAACGGGAATCCCGGACTAGAGAAGAGCAGGCAGCTTTACGCCCAGAACGGGCTGTACAGACCACATATACATACTGCGGTAGGTGCTAGGGCAGCGCCACACACACCGCAGGTCGACAACAGCTGTGTTCCTCGACTCCAAGAGTGGGTTCTATTCAGTCGATCGATGCATCCTGTTCGACATATTTGCGCGGAAAAGTGTTTTCATGAAAGATGGGAACACTACTTGTCCTGTAGTCGAACACGGCAGGGTCTACGGTGACTTATCGGATATCTTCCCGACAATAAGTGGCGTCTGTCAGGGTTGCCCAATTTACCCATATTTGTTCAATTTCGTCGTGTACTCCATCATGGAATGTTCCCATACGGAATCTTATGACGCAGGCGTTGTGGTGTTGCCCGGTGAAAGGCTAGTTGATCATGTTTATATGGGCGATATTGTCTTGCTGCTTAGCGATGGGGAGGCCAAATCAACCCTGAATAAGCACTCTAAAACGGTATGCGCTTCGCACCTTCAAAGAGGTGTTGTTGCGGGACCACCAGTCCCTTGATGGACCCTTGACCCAATTGCGAGGAAGCTGAGGTAGTTGATTAATTCACTTCCCTTGGCAGCTGCATCAGCAACGATGGGCGTATAACCGCTGGAATCAGTTAACGTATTGCAAAAGCCAGAACTTCCTTCTTGAATCTGCGACATCTTTGGCGACAGAAGGGAGTTTCCCTACGTCTGAAAGTCCGTGTTTACAAGTCCACAGTGAGGGACGCCCTACTTTACAGAAGTGAGACCTAGCCCCTTCGATCTGAGGACCTGAGGTGCCTTCCAGTCTTCGATCATCAGTATCTGCGCAACATTGCTGGCGTCGGATGGCACCAAAGTGTCTGCAACGATGATATGCGTAGACGTGCGCTAGACAGTGATAACCAAGCTAGTTCCTTAGAACAACAGATGGCCGTGAATAAGCTGCGTTGGTTTGGCGTATGCTTGGTCCCCGATTACCGGAGAGGGTCTTGTTTTGTCTTCCAAATGTAGAGTAGTGATGCAACGCTCGACGTGGACAAAAGTTGACTTGTCAGTGGGAAAAAGAGTCACTGACGACCAAACGCGGTGTCGTAGGTCCGTCTCACCTTCTAGACTTAAGTCCACATGACTCGCCATGTGATTGGCTCAAAACTTTACAGGACGGCTAACAGTCGAGACCAACGGCGTGCCTGCTGCCATGTCCTAGTCGAACTGTCTGTTTAAATTGTG